GCCGCGCTCGGCTCAATGTACAGTCAGGCCACTATAAGCCGAAACCGAATGAGTTAGTCGGTGAGTAGTGCTTCTGTGATCAGTGTTTTTGACAAGAAAGCACTGGGAAGCAGAAGGCTGAGTTGTCAATCCAGCGGAGCCTGGGCAGAGACCTCAGTGGAAAGGGGTCTAGCCTGGGACTGCGCCCTGGGAGAGGGAGGTCTGAAGGATCTACATGGGGAACAGAGGAGATATCTGTTGTATGTCTGTATAAATGCTACATTCCTTTGCTCTGATGTCACTTGCTCTTTGTATGCCTGAATAAAGAATCTGTACTGTGCATGTGATTTCTTGCTGCAAGTAAAAACTTTGCTTTGACTTAAAAGACGACTCTGTGTATTGATTTGGAGCAGTTAGGACTCCACGGAAGAATTTTCACATGTTGTGTGTATCTTTATGGTTATTTTTGCATCTTTGTGGTTGTTTGGTGCATCTTTGTGGTCACTGCAGTCTTTCAATGAGCTCTACAATTACAAACACACAAGTCTGTTTTTGTCATTTATTGAGTTTAATGTTGCTTTTTTAAAAACCACATTTAAATGACTTGCATGAACAACAAAACCAAAGTGAAATATTTTGGTGACACAGAAAATAAAATTCAAGCACAAGTGAGCATCATGGCCATTTTCTAAACAATGGTGAGGACAGAATGCATGTGGTCTAACTATCGTCCCCTGAATCTCCTTGAAATCTACATCTGTGGGCTCTACACTACGGAAAAAGGGACCTAAGAAAGACTCCCACTTTCTTAACTACTCCAACCAAGGCCATCGCTGGATTTCTATCTTCAGCTTTTTCTCTGGCCTCTCTTTGATGCTTCTCCTCCAAAGCTTTTTCCTTGTCTTTCCGCTCTCTTTCATACTGTGCCTTTAATTCAGCCTTTTCTGCTTCCCACCGAGCTCTGTCGAGCTCCCTCTCCCTCCTCGCTGCCTCATCTCTCTGCTCCATTCTCTGCCTTTCTGTCTCCCATTGCTGCTGCTGCATGTTCTGCATGCTGAACATCATAAACATATTCTGCATCTTCTCCCTGTCCCAACTGTCCTCCATTCTTTGAGCCTCATAATACTTCTTGAGATTCCTGAGCTGTTCATCATGTTCTGCTTGCAGTTCCCTCCTCAGTCGCTCCCTTTCGATGCGCATCTCTGCGTCCTTCTCAGCCAGGATGCGCTGTTTCTCCTCATTGATTGCTCTTTCTGCTTCCTGGAACATCTCGTTGGTGTAGTGGCTTCCTCCGTTATTCCTCACTATATTTCTGATCTTCTGAAGCAGCTCGGGGACCTGACGGCCAGTCTTCAGGTCATTATTGAAGACGTGGTACTGGCCGTGGCATCTGTCCACGAGCCCCTGCAGGTCTGGGGACTTCCCGATGAACTGCTCGATAGGGGTGCCTTTGAGAAGGTCACCTCAAGTGAACAGGACCATGCTGTATCTGTCAGCAGCCTGGCCAAACAGCTCCTGAATCTGCTGCACTGTCTGCATCTCTTCCTCCGTGTACCTGCCCAGTCCGATGACGATCAGGAAGATGTGGGGTCCTGGAGAAGCGTAAGAGATGCACTGGTTGATGTTTTTACATGTTTTGCTCACTGCATGCCTGGTGTCAAACAGGCCTGGGGTGTCGATCACCACGACGTCTTGTCTGTCCACCGATGCTCTGGCCTTGAAGCACTCGTTAGTAACAGATGTGGGGCTCATCACTGATTCAAAGGCGTCACAGCCAAGAATGGTGTTTCCTGAGGCGCTCTTCCCAGATCCAGTCTTCCCCACCAGCACAATCCTCAGCTCCTCGGTGGTTGGTTTCTTCG